TTCTGAAAGCTCATACCAAGTCGCTTTATTCCCACATGGTGCTGATACTTCTGCTTTCCAAGATGTTGTTCCAATTAAAATCAAAGCTGCTGTTGAAGGTAAAAAATAAGCTGAATAACTCAATAATTCTGCTTCATACCCAGCTACACCTTAGCTGCCACTTATGGATATCAGCTTAATGCTCTTTCCTCAACATGTTTGTTATGACCGGTCATATTTTTATGTTTAATGCTTTATACTTTTTATCAAATACATATCCATATCATGAATTCTTTGACCAAACGTAGACGCTTCTCACTCAATATTAGAATATATAACCATCTTAATAGAGCAAAGATTAATAGCAATAAGATATTACTGAGTGTTTTATTACCTTGAATGATATTGTATTATATACCATATTATATAGTATAGTATATAGCCTATATATTACTATATATGGTATATATATACCCTATGTAGGTAGTATATATAATATAGCCTATGTAGTATATATGTAGTATATATATAGTATATAGCGTATAAGTGGTATACCTTAGGGTATTCTAAATTCAGCATAGGTTAATAAGTAGGTCATATCTTAGCCTAGGTAATTTTCAAAATTTAACCATATTCCTTTTTTTTGTTTTATATAAGTAGTATAATAAAAAAAGAAAGTCGTTTTCAATATATATTTGAATCTTTACTATAAAGTGGTATCAATCTAAATCTCCGGATTTACATCTGAAAGGGGTAAACTAAACGATAATAGTTACAGGGCAATTATTTGAAAGCAAATTATCCAAAGAATACAAAACTCATTTGATATGAGAAGAGCCTTTGATATATCAAAGAAAATCAACAAAGATTTCAATACAAGGTCGTCTCAGGATATAAGATTATACTCAACAATTATGCCGCTAGATAGTATAAGAAAAGGCGAGTTCCATGATTCTGGTAAGCCATACTTAAAAGTATCAGGGACTCCTTACGAAATCGGGTTTCAACATGGTGTCTTTGCATCAAAGCAGATTCACAGGGCAATAGAGATCTATTCCAAGCTATACAAAGATGCACAAAATGTTGATTGGGAGCTTGCTCGTTCAAGAGCTTCTCGATATGAAGAACCTATCAAGTCTAAATATCCTGAAATATGGGAAGAGCTAGAAGGTATTTCGAAAGGGGCTGGGTTGGAAACATTAGATATCTTAGCTTTAAATACAAGAAGTGAAATAACACTGGTCAAAATATCTGATGGTTGTACAGCTTTAGCTCAAAGAAACAAATCCACAGGTGAGGTTTGGGTTGGACAAAACTGGGATTGGATTCCTGAAATTGATGAAGCTACATTCTTTTTGGAAGTTGAACAACCTGATAAACCAAGTATACTTATACTTGCCGAAGCTGGTATTATTGGGAAATATGGTTTCAATTCTGCAGGTGTTGGTGCGATGTTAAATGCTATTCCATCAAATCAGGTTTCATTTGATGGGCTTCCAGTTCATTTTGCATTGAGAAAAGCACTAGAGCAAAAAAGTGTCAATGATGCATTGGTATATCTTGAGAATAATAAGGTTTCTAGTTCTGCAAACTTCTTATTAGCTGACCCTAAAACATATTTAACACTTGAAGTTAGTCCATTGGGTAACAAAGTTATTGAAGCTGATGAAAAAACTGGTGCTGTTTGGCATACTAATCACTTTTTGGATAAAGATCTTGAACAAAGCTTAAGCACTGGAGAGCCAATTCTTAGCTCATTTGAACGTTTGGATAGAGTCAAAGAGCTTACTGATCCTGATGCTGATGCCAATTATGATGTTTTCAGAGAAAGACTTTCAGATATCGAGAATTCACCGCATGGAATTTGCAGAATAGGAACAGGAGGGACAGGTCTATCTGGATGTGTTACTCTATATACTATAGTTATCAATACTAATAAAAAAGAAGGGATAATTACACTTGGAAGACCTTCTGATAAGTCACTTCAGAAGTATAAGTTATACTTTGAATGAAGCACCAACATCACTCAACAACCTTATTGTTCTCCTTTAATTACTCCTAATTAATGTATGTTATTTTATATAAAGATCAGCAGTGTACTTCCAGTTCTTGTATCAGATTCATAAACACAACTCACGACTGATGAATCTCTTAAACTTGTATTAAAGTCTCAAAACATTATTATGAAGTGTCCCGTAACGCATTTCGGCTTTTCTAGTTGAAAAAAATTTGGCGTCAAAATTCGTTATAGTGGGAACATAAACAACAACGACTCTTCGAAAAAGGAAGATTTCAAGATATATGTGGCCTTCGAGGCATGGGCTGGGTGTACAGCTAGGATATGGTCTACAAGGCTCTAACTTTCACAGTGGCTCTCTTGACCAAGAAAGACCCTGGAAATTCGCAAGACAGAGAGATGGTGGTTTAGCATTAAGTGAAGTTCGATTCTCAAAGGAAACTTTAGTACCACCACAAATCAGTGATTCTGAAATATCTGATTCCAAAGATAATACGTTTAAGTCTGCTTTAAAAGATGTTCCATCTGATATAATGGGCCAAATATTGAAAAACGAAGAGTTCTTATCATCAAAATATGTCTATGATCCAACTTATAGTGAAATGATTGACTATCAAATTCTTCAAAATAACAAAAAAAGTGAAATTCATACACATTCAGAGGTCATAGCCTATGTTTCAGATCCAACAGGTTGTACCTTGAATGTTCACATTATCCAAAGAACCAAAAATTTTATCATGAGCAAGGAACACAGTTTCGATTTGTTCATACCGACGCTTGGAAAAGGTTGTTCTTGGGAATTTGATTCACCTATCAAGCAGATAAAAATCCGTCAAGACAGTTCACCCACAGATTATCCTCAAGTTTTGATTATAAGGACAGCCAACTCTATATACTTACTACAACTGAGAAGTAAAATAACACACAAGGTAGAGTGCAATTTGAAGTTAATAGGCACTATCCACCCAAGTGACTTATATGATGAAAATTTTGCTTATGTAAATACAAGTCCATTTGATAAAACACTATTCTTGATTGTTGATGTTAAAGGTAATTGGGGGTTGGGAAAAATACGGAAAATTAAAGTACCAAGATTTTTAACAAAAGGTAGAATATTTGATCCAGATGAAGTATCAAGTTTTAAAAGAATCATTTGGTCGAATCATCCAGATATAATGTATGTTATAGGAAGAACATACATTAAACAGTTCAACTTAGAAACACTTGAAAAAAAAGATATTGTTTTAGCTGGAAAATGGTCTGAGATCAGAGATTATAAAAATTTTACATATAATTTAAACTTTGGGATATTGTTGACTTCTAAAGAGTTGATATGGATTGATATTGCTAATGGGTTCAAAAGGGTCCTATCTTGGAAACATTATCTTGAGTCTGATGACCCATCATTATCATTGACAGTGAGAACAATAGGAGACATCACATTTGCTTTGATTCATAGTCAAGTCCATCCAATCGTATTAATCCATCAATTTAAGATCGAAGATGGCTTTCCAACTTCAGTACGTGATCCAACAATGGTGAATTTAGGAAGCAAAGCTCCAGCTTATGGTTATACTATGATACCAGCATTTTTCAACGATATTATTGGCTCAGCTCATGATGAGAAGTTTTTAGCTCTAACAATTTTCAAAGTATCAACACAACTGGATGTTTCAAGAATTGTTGTATCTACTTTAAATAACTCATTACTACTCAAGTATCCAAGTTCACGGGAGTTAAGTATTAAAGGTCAAGCTGAAGCTCAGTTAGCAGATGATAAAGCTTCAATGATTAATAGAAACATAGAAAAATTACAAACTTTAACGGATGAACTATTTTATCAGATTTCAGAAGATACCACTGAAGACCAAGACGATGCTGCAGTTTTTCAAGACTTTGCTACAAAACTAAACGTTCAAGATAAAGATACTAGATCACCTTTTACATTGATAAACCATGCTGAGTCGATTCAAAATTTTCAAGGATTTGAAGAATTTGATAATCTTATGGAACAGTTTCAAGATCATTGTCGTCAGATTAATCTTGAGCTTCTACCTTTATCGAAATTAAATCAACTATTATTGAAGAACAATACAGAATCTATAAGTGATTTATTTAAAAAATTGCTTAAACTTTGGAATCACAATAACCCAGATGAAGAAGACAAGCTATACACAAAATACATTTCAAGGGACTTAGCACTCTCATCGTCTGTCATATACAACCCACAAGAGGAAGAATCGAAATCACCAGAATTGATTAATGGATTGCCTAGAAAACTGAGAGATATTGTTGATAAGTGGGATGAGGGATTTGAAGAGCAAGAGGAAGAACAAATACCATCGCAGTTTCTTGAAACTCCAGAACCGGTAATTAAACCAATCGTCACAGTTTCACATTCTCAACCCATCAATCCTTCCCAGGGGTTATTGCGGCCATCTCAAAGAACTCAATCACTCATTGCAAAACCACAATTTCCTTCTTCTCAACAACAATCACAACCAGCATCAAGTGTTCCAGCTGCTGCTTCTCAGCCAGTCAAGACCAAAAAGAAAAAGCGCAGAATTAAAGGTTTTGGATAAGTCCAATGAAACTTACATCTTGAATGAACTTACGACAACTAGCATATTTGTATATATACTTTTAAAAATGTATTATATTATAGAATCAATTCATTAACTGTTCTAACCTTCAAGTTGTAAACCTTTTCTGAATATGTTGTTAATATTTGGCGCCTCGGCATAGCTAGTTCTCATCAAATCACGCATATATTGTGAGGTCTTTTCACATGAGAACAGAATCAGTTATATTTTATACATATAAAATGCCATTTGCCTTGAATTTATACATTATGTTTATATTTTGATGTCTAACTCTAAAACTACATTGTCTAATACAGAAATACAAAAATATGAACACTGACGGAATTGGACTTGAAACCAGTTTGAAATGGGCTTACCATTACGGTGACCGTTATTACCTCAATAGATGGTATGAGAATGAAACCAATGGCTTTCGAAATGTTTCAAAATTATTCAATAATCCATATGAGCTAGGAAGAGTAGCTTATTGGAGGTGTAAAAGTAAAATAATCTATCCTTTGAAGTATCAGACCTCAAAAGCTTCAAAGTTCATGAAGATAAAATGTTGGGTACCAATAAAAAGAGCTTTTAGGAAGAAACCCAAAGATGAAGATATTGAACTTTCAAATATGAGAACATATTCAGGTGCTACATATTTTGGAGTTCTTCCAAGAGATATTTGGTTAACTGTTCTTCTTCACACAGAAGAATCGGATAAGTTCAAATTGCTTCAGTTGAATCGAGAATGGCTAACATCAATAGCACCAGCTTGTTATAAAAGAGTACACTGTTTATTAGCAATTTCTAGTACTGATAAACTCAAAAAGAATGATCAATGTTATCTTTCAGTGGGCCCAGATAGTTCTTATGAATCAACTTCCAATGCTTACAATATTTACTTAAGAAGTAAGGAATCAAGATTGTTTGACTATGAAATATTAGATATCGAACGTTATAATGAAGGAAGTTCGAACCCAGATAATCATGTTACTCTTATCACAAATATAAAGAGCATTAGATCATTTCTAGATAATACAATGAGAAACACAAGGTCTAAAATGAGACAGTATATCCAAGAATTTTCAATAGATACCATATTTTTGGAAGGATCTGACTGGAATAAATTCAAAACTGATTATATAGTGGAGGAAATCCGAAATATTGAGACAAAAGACAAATATACCAGTTCAAGCTCTACAAATAAAGGACCAATATCTGCTTCCAGATACTGTGGTGAATATGATTGGAAGAATAGAGTCAGAAGAAGAGTTATGGGGATGTATGATGGTGAAGCTTTGTATTATAACGGAGATAATCAATATGGTAAAGTTTATCCAAACGATGTTTACAAACAAGAGCTTGAAATCATAAACAGGTCATTGGGAAACATCAAGAACGGAAGAAGACGTGCAATATTTAACAGTGATTTGAACCAAAAATTCGATAATGAATGCTTGTTGAACCAAAGACTTGAGGAAAACTTGCTCAACACAGACCCTCAAAGAGTATTATCAACTCATTATACTGAAAATTTGAAACATTCAACAGATGATCTTTCCATTGTTCATAGAAGTTTCTACACAGAGAGTCAGATTGCTGATTTGATTGAAGATATAATGGATATCTACTCGGTTAGAAATAAGAGTAATGATGTTGGTGTTTGCCCTTCACTTTTCAGTGGTATGGAATCAAGCAGTGCCGTGTATTATGATCCACAAACAATCATGTATGTTCCAGATCAGATCATCTTGAATAGAATCTTAGATTAATGGTGAGATATAACATTAACTGAGCAATTATTCATCATTTCCATAGTTGAATATATGTATTGATAATTATTATTTAATAAACCCATAACATGTACTAAGGTGTACCGTGATATTGTATGTGATAATTCAGTACAGCTACGTTATCCTTTAATTCATGATATAGATATGCATTTGATAAAAATTATAAAGTATTATAGAAGAATATGACCGGTCATAACAAGCATTAAGGAAAAAATTAGCATTAAAATGATATTGATGTATCTGGGTATAAAGCAGTGTTAATTATTCAGCTTATTTTTTACCTTCAACAGTAGCTTTGATTTTAATTGGAACAACATCTTGGAAAGCAGATGTTGAAGCACCATGTGGGAATAAACCAACTTGGTATGAGTTTTCAGAG